AGATCATCATGAAAGTTGGACAAGGTAAAGATCAACTGCTGCTTTGTGAGCCCGCTGTTAGCTGGTACAGCCCCCAGCTAGCGTGGTAACTGGGGTGACGTTCACCATCACTGCTCTTGTTAGTTTTGAAGGCAGACCATTCTCTGCACTTTAAACCACTGGTTGAGTCCCCCAAAGCAACATACTCAGTTTTTCTCATTTGTGATCTCTCTAAAGTGCAGGCCAGTGAGACAGGGTGTCTGTGTGCTGCCACAGATATGTGTATTTCTCTTTACAATGCAGAACACCTCTTTGAAAAAAATCAAAGTGTCTAATACATAAACACTGGCTCTGCTGCGTTGTTTCTTTATCAAATCTGGACAACCCAAGAGCTGCATTTTCATGCAGAATAACCTATTGTGCTTAAAGAAAGAATTATTCTTCTAATTAGAGACTAGTATAGCTGTCAGTCAACTTGCTTAGTGAAATTGAAATGTCATATGGCATCAGTCAAAATGCTTTGACTGCCAAATGCAAGAATCCCTATAGTTTCCACAGATGGCCTGCTAATCGAAACCTAACAAATAACTAGGATTACCATTCTGATTAAAAAGGAAGGTTATATTCTTGTATTTCTCAGTGCTTTGAATAGAGAGTCTTATGTTCATTGCTGTTCATGCCTCTTGAGATATCTTTGCAACTCCTGAAGCTTGCTACATTGTCATATGTCTGTGCCATGATTAATCGCTTCTTCTTCATGTACATGCAAGTCCTGCTGGATCAACCAGGAATAATGATCCAACAAGACGTCCAGAGCTAGAAGCTGGTACAAATGGGAGAAATTCAACAAGCCCTTTTGTGTAAACAAATCCAGGGACAGCAGTGTAGTGGGCTGTGTGTCTATGGTGTGCATTTTTCTTAGAACCCCTAGAGGCAGGGGAGCCTCAAAACACATCCCAATCAGTGGGATTCACTCATGGGTACAGATTGCTGGGGTCTTTGCTCCCAGTGAGTCAATATTAACTCTGCCACTAAGACAGATTAATTCAGCCCACTCAGTGTCTTACAGTCACAAGAGCAGAGTTCACCAGGTGTTTCAGTTACTGATGCATCCTGAAGTGTTGAAACTAGGGATGTTCCAGATTTGCTGTCTAATCTTTAGGAAGTGGTTGGCCTGGTGAGTGAGTGTCGGACCTTTGAAGCTCCTTCACCTCATCTGGTGATCTGTTGTCCAGTTCACCCTGTGAGTTGAGCATTGGCCAGGCTTACTTGTTTGCATTTAGAGTGTTCCTTCTTCAATCTAGAGTGCAGAGTCTCAGAAACACAGTAACTGGCTCTTCTTGCTTCTGGCAGGTACCAGCACTGAAGGCAACAGCGAAGGGCATTCCGCTAACAACCTCCTGGGTTCCAAAGTGGCCTTATTCGCAGGAATCACATCAGGATGCATCATCGTCATCGTCATCATCCTCACCTTGGTGGTATTGCTGCTCAAGTACCACAGGAGGCACCACAAACGTACCACAGCCAAGCGAGGTGGCAACAACTATGGCTGGGAACCCAGTGATGTTCTCATACCGCTAAGGACTGCAGACAGTGTCTTCCGCCCACACTATGAGAAGGTCAGCGGGGACTATGGGCACCCAGTGTACATCATGCAGGAGATGCCCCCACAGAATCCTGCCAACATTTACTACAAAGTCTGAAGCCTGGGACCTTCGCCTCCCAAGGGAACTCTCACCTTGTTGTGGGTGCAGGGACTGAGCCTGGCTCTGGGGGCGGAATGCCTCCTGGAAGAGCCTGGAGCTGGACAGTTTTGTAGGCTGTAGCTTTTCAGCCTTGGGGAACCACAGACCCTCCCCTGAAACTGGAAGACTGCTAAGAGATCCCCACTTGGACTGCTGTGTCCCTGTGGGGACCTCTATGCCATGCACCCAGCCAGGCACTCAGGACTCTGCAGATCCCGGGGAGGATATGGTGGGCTATGGGTGATGCAGCAGTACCTTAGGAGAAAGTTGCACCTCTGCCTCTGTGTTTCCTGACATGTGCACTGGACCTCGGGTAACCTCAGTAAGGTTTTCAAAGATCCCTAGCATTTGATCCTCACTACTTCTGTTTCCAGGGCTCTGCAACGCCTCCCCAGACCCCTCACTCCACATCCTGTATCATTAAGGGACACTCACCACGGAGCCCTGGCCCCACCCTTTACACCAAGATGAGATTAAATGTGTATTAGGTACAGAATTCTGCTTTCCTGGAGGCTTGGATGGGTTAGCTGAAAAAAGCATTGGAGGTTTGGCTGAGTGAGGATGGTACCAAATGCCACCTCAGGTCAAGACTACTGCCCCTGGAGCATAGTGGGGAAAGCAATTAGGAAACAATAGATAGTCTTTGGCTTTGCTGAGAGGAAACAGGCAGGTGGGAGACTTCAGACTGTGATGAGTGGTGGGGCGCTCACTATCACAGCTATGCAACAGGGAATCAAACTCCTCTCCTGAAGTTTAACAAAGGGGCCATTGTTATGAATGGAGAGGCCAGAATTCAGAGGGAGAGAACAGGCGTCTAGGCCTCTGGGCCAGGACTGCTGAGTCACTGCCAATAAAAATGCTTAGCGCTGGAGCTGTGGGACAGTCCCGTCTTCTTTGGGAGATGGTTTAAGCAGACTCAGCTGCTGTATTGCCACATTTTATTAAACAGGGAAAAACCATTTAGGAGAACAGCAGAGAGCCAAATCGGACCTAGAAGTTGAAAATACAAAGGTCAAGCAGGCTGTAAGTCCATCAGCACTGAGGATATAGGGAATTTTCATTAGTAGAGGTTGGTCAGATTTCCCCAGTCCCCGGAAGTGCCCTTCTTCTTCCCCGATTGAGCCTTACACTTTGGTTTTGGGGTGATGGCTGTGCTGCCCAGGCTGTGTGGCTGTACCCAGGCTCCATGTCAAAGCAAAGCACACATGGCCCACCTCTAAGAGTCCTTAAGATGGAGATAACATTATGATGTCAAGGGGAAAGAGGGAGATAGGACATAGTTATAATAGGTGTATAGAACACAAGAAATATAAAATGAAAGATGTTTACTTATATATATTTTAAGATTACACACAATACATACCATGAGACGTGGAAGTCATTGTTAAAGCGGACCCAGCCCTTAGCACTTTACAAAGTAAAAGATCAGATAGAGCTACTTCTAAGGGAAGGAGCATCACATGAAAAGTTATCAATTGTCCCAACCCACAGAACTTCATCTTGGGACAAGACAGTCAGGGATAGGGAATGGGGACAAGAGACACAGAAAGAATGACCACAAGACAGGATTCTAATCAAGTGGCAAACTTTACTTTTATCAGATTACCTTATATATTCAGTAGAGCAGGATATGGGGAGGGGTAGAATGAGTTGTTTGTTCACCAGGTGTTAGTGTAGGCAGGATATTAGGAAGAAACAAAGAGGATGTTTGGCAGGCTAAAGAGTTCATGTGTAAGAGGTCCAGGAAGGGTTGCCTAAGTGACTGAGCCTGTGGGTGGAGGACTGGGTCAAGTTGTTTCTTTTCTTGAGCTGAGGTTCTAAGGGGCCGCTATGTAAAGGTGAATACACAACTATGTGGCTGGCCAAGAATGGCTCTTATCACCCTTCCTTGTATAAAAAGAATTGAAAAACTTTTTCAGCAGAGGGGGATAGAGACATGGCCCCCAATTGGAGAATCTATGTAGATTTTATGAAGGACAGTTTTCTCTGACCTTGGAGATGGCTTCTCGGAGCCATCTAAAAGCCAGGATCATCCCAATATCTTTTTGTGGTGGTGGGGAAGCTTTAGGACATTGACCACATTGCACGCAGGCATGTTCCTCAGAAGACAAGGAGTCCTTGCAGTACCATCCAGGTCTGCACCTCTGAAGTTGGCCATGGGGAAGTGGATTAATTCCTTTTGGAGGGAGCAGACTGAGATGGTTTATATTAGAAGGAAGCAAGTCATCCTCAGAGGAGGAGAGCTTAAGTATTGGACCCGGACAGGCTTAGTGGCAGAGTCCACTTGTTGCTTGAAAAAGGCCACAAGTTGATTAAAGGCCCAAGGGCCAAAGGAGATTATCAAGAGGAGCCCTATTAAAGGTCCAAGGAGGGAAGGAAGGAAGGTGGTTAACCATGGGGAACTAGTAGGAATGTGTAGAAGGAAGCAAAATTTTCCCATAAGCCCAAGGCCAGCCAAGCTGATGGTTGAGTCAGTGTCATCGGGGTCATTTTCAGAGGACCTGTAGAATAGGTTGATCAGGACCTGGAAGGAAAGAAGGAGAGGCTTCTCCTCCCGAGGGGGCTGGAGTGTCAGAGTTTTCATCTCCTGAGTCCTCCTCCCTGGAGGAGGCTTCAGCGGACAAGGGATTTGATTACCGCTACAGAGTGAAAACAGAAATGCCAAGAGTGGTGATTTGGACAGGGATGT